AATTAAATTTATTACTAGAAATCATAATGCAACATCTTAATATATGACAAACTATTCACGAAAAGCAGCCCGCATGTAATACATCAACGGGACGAATATTTCACATAATGTTTACCAATCTATCTTTGACAAATAAACATATTAATATATAAACTAAATTGTTGCATTAAATTAACAAATTTAATTTTAAAGTTACTCCTGTAAAGCTATTATAATTATAATAAATAATTATTAACATTATAATTTATACAAGTCCGTTAAATATTTATAATGAATTAATTTATTAATCGATCAAATAATTAAGATTTATATATATTAAAGGTAAATGATATGGGTTTTGTGTTAATATAAAAGCAATTCGCGCAATAATTTGAAATTACGTTGGCAATTAAATAATTAATCACGGTAAATGGCAAAACATGATACGGGGAAACAAGTTTTGCCGGGCTCGTGCGCGATTCGCGTGCCGCACACGCATCGCATGCGGTCGGCTCTTTCGTCATTGAAACTCCGACACGCTCATAACGCAGACTTCATTAGCTCGTAAACACCACATGCGCTTATCATGCGGGGTCTAGGTTAGAGTCCAATTATGAGTCCGATCGTAATCGAACGCGAGAAGCCGTGTTTGCTAAAAACACTCGCGAGAACTCGCTGATCTTATTGTTAGATGGAGACGCGCGCATACGTACGCTTTTACTTGCGAAAGCCGGTATATATGTATATATATAAACTGACGTAACGCTCTGATAGGGCGTGTAACAAGGGAACTTATGACGAGAGGCGATAATAATTACTCCGCTGTACGCCGCTGCCGCAAACGTTGTCGGAAACTTAGTTTGCGCTAGTTTTTAATGCGCAAAACAGTGCAACGCAGATTGCCAATAATTTACGATAAAGCGACACTTAAAGAATAAACTATATGTGAGTCAAATGTACTATACCAATTTCACTAAATGACATATACATTAGTTTGTTAATTATTATTAATTACTTATGATTATTTGTTAGTTTTCTTAACAATCTCAATTTTTCCCAATTTTTTAAAACAGAATAAATAAAATATGACGAAGAATAATAATAAATTACAGATAATGAATTAAATTATTAAATTTATCTAATTAACAGCGTAATTGTAAATATGTACAATAACAACTGATAATAGAAAGTATTAGGTTGGCCAATAAGTCCGTGCGGTTTTTTACTTATAAATGTTACTTATAAATAACCGCACGGACTTATTGGCCAACCTAATACTTGTTACATATAAATAATTATTAATATGCGAGGTCAAATTAATAAAATATTAATTAAAATCATAGATATATTAGATGTATCAAGATATAATATATATAATAAAAAAATGATTATTTTAATACTTATCGTATTATTCAGATGGGTAACAATAAATATTGTCAAATTTATTGGGTATGTCATCGACCTGTTAAGGGAAAATAAAGTTAGCAACCTCATAAAATATATGCGTAAGTAGATAATTCAAGTTTTTCAGGAAACCGACGAAAATGGAGCTAACAAGCAGTCTGAAATATCGCAATAACTGCGATTCATGCCTGTATTATGGCACGTGGGAATACCTATATTAGACCCCGTACTAATGCACATTGCCGCACCGTGTACGCCTAGCTACGGAATATTATTCCGTATTCACGTATGCGCGTGTTTACCCGTGGTGCACATCCTGCGCCGCATATATAACCAAGAGTTACAGAAGTGAAAATTTCCCGCTCCGTGTATGCCGCGGAAGCGCAAAACGCGCTCATACCATTTTTCTGCCCTTTTTACCCGAGAAAAAATACAAGGGGCAACATTATGTGTACAGATTGCACATATTTAAACGGTCTGAATTAAATTTCTCTGCTCTCCCGCTTTAAACTTGGGTTTTCATCTTTTATACTTGCGTTTATTTATTCTGCGGCGTGTGTTGAAACACGCGTAGGACCTGCGATATAATCGCGTGGCGTGTAATACGACTCTTAAATGCCGCACTCGTAAATGTTATTATTAATTCAAATTAATGAATTATTCAAATTGTGTTTCACGCTAATTATATTATTGCATAATAAATATGTATTTCGTATAGTTATGTATTACTCTAATAAGAATATTCAGCAAACACATTCAAGGAACATATTCAATAACTAAAATACCTTTTACTAACAATAAAAGAAATAACTTACACCAAAGAAATAAAACAACAAACATATTAGTATTTTCGTATAATTGTACGAACTTTATCGTATGAACACAGAAAAAAAAGAAGTGTCAAATCAATACTCCATATGCTTGTATATATATACGTAAGAATATATAATCTTGAAATAAGATTATATTGCGTTGGTTCAACTATATAATTCTTCGTTAAACACTAATTTTCTTCGTTTAACGCAATATAATCTTATTTCAAGATTATATATTCTTACGTATATACAAGCATATCGAGTGTTGATTTGACACTTCTTTTTTTTCTGTGAAGATATAAATAATTTTTCCGATGTATTTTTGGCACGAACTCTATTTCTATACATGCGATAGCGTAGATATAACAAATTCCCAATGCACCTAAGTAGTAAACTTATCAAAGAAATAATCACCTATGGAAGATTCCCCCATGAGGAGGTATACATAGTCAACACGCGATACTTTAGAATTTCAACTGAATTTGCAAATTCTGAAGATGCAAACCCTCATTATAAGTCTTTGATACTTCCATGATTGGTGCATGTTGGAAGATTTGATGGAAAATACATGCGGCCGAACTGAGAGTGTAATAAATCAATACACGGTAAATTGTATGGAAATCGATGGAATAATCACACCCTGCCAGAAATATCCTATTATTTGCCGGAGCTACTCACGCAAATGTTCACAGATGAAAATAGGGATAAACGTGGAGACAGAAATGTGACCGAGTGTTTCAAACGGGTTTCGACCGCCGCGCCGGGTACTTCGCACACGAGGCACGAACGTTGCAAATAAATCAAGGCTCTTCTGGCTTCCGCTGTAAAGAATCCATGAGGGTAGCGAGTGGGTGCGCTTTCCTGAATGGACAAAAAGGATAGAACGTCGCACTGGTGGAGAAAACTGGTAGAATGTCGAAAAGGAGGCGTAGTGCTCATCTCTCGATTTATTGGCGATTTAAAATATTTGAATAATAATTCTTGTCTCATTCTCGAGTGAGATTCGCCTTTTTAGTAAACATGTACACTGAGAAAAAATACTTGAAAATTTATTTGTGGAATATAAGGTTTATTTCTGTAAAATAAACCTTATTATATTCCACAAAGTGAGATTTATTTCTGTGAAATAAATCTTATATTCCACAAATAAATTTTCAAGTATTTTTTTCACAGTGAAGAACATGTTAATCTCTTAATAAAATCTTTTAATCTTGAATAACAAAGTTACTTTGCTTTACAGTATTTTTACATTGCATTCACACAGTCAAAGTGATGAATTTTCCGGTCGAAAATAATTATAATAAGAATAACACATATCAAACTTTAATTGCATTTCAAAACTTATTATCATTTATTATAGAAATTATTTTCATGAAAGAAAACAAATACATTTATATCACAAATTGGTTTGATTTCAAGTCAATATTTCCGATCTATTTCTTCACCAATTATCGAACATGTTTATACATGCTGTTTATACGGGTAAATATGAAGCTTGTTCGAGCTACACCGATTTGGTACTAGGCTCGCTCTTGCTGTCACGTGCGTACACACCCAGCGAGTGTGTGCCATCATAAACATGAGGAAACTTCATACGGAGGAAATATCTTATCGGGCGAGATACATTTCGTGAGGCGCGGTGCATGGAGAAATCGAAATCGAAATAATCGGTGTCGTAATATAGGCCATGGCGATAAAACGCAGCGCATATATTGCACTAACGATGTAATCGGAGTACGGCGGACTGTCCGCTTGAAAGATGCAGCTAGTTTGAAATTTGTTGGCAGCCGTGCACATAATGCTTGTCCAGCGATGTGCAAAATCGCTGTGCGACATACGATCGTTTCGGTATGCGCGTGATTTTCAGAGATTATTTCCATCTGCGAGGAGAGATGAATGGAATGAGAACGCTTTCGAAAAACGCACGAATACGAATCGGCCGTAAGATCGATAACTATCGGGATCAAAATAACTTTTGCGATAGTACTAAATGTTAAATAATTCCATCTTTTGTTTTTAAGTATTACTTATTGTGTCTTTTATGATTATTATTAGTATTACAAATTGTTTTAAATATAATTCACGAAATTACTTTGGTATTATTACAAAAAATCAATGTAAAAGTGTTAATGAGAAAATGACATGTTAATAAACTGCGTACATACGTATAATATAGATTTTCATTATTCAATATTGATAAAGTGGAGACTACATATAAAATGCATTTTACAGAATTTAAAAGTTTTCTTAAAACGCGTGGAGATATCAAGCAGGCATACGTCATGACAGTTTTAGGTCAAGTCTGGGTTCTCTTACAACAAAACGATTTTTATTTTAAATCATTTTCAGCCACAAAATATAAAAATAGTAATAAGTTAAGCTAGAACAACGTTTTAAACTTAATGTCTACGCTCCACCAGATCTGCATTTGATGATTTGTATATGCTTTTAATTCTTCTACCTTAATTTCATAATTGTGTTTTCGTATTAGCATTTATATTAAAAGACATCTAAATGCGTTGGTGGAGAATACGAATATATTTTGGATGGTAATAATAATATGTATAATACTCACATTATAGTGAGACTAGAAATGGTGTCTTTAATTTTTAAACAGTTTTGTAGTATCACTAGAAATCTATGAAAATTACTTTAATAACATAAAATATTTTATATAAAAGTTGATCTCTGGTTGTTAAAAAAAGTAAAATCTTGCAATATTATATAAGATAAATGTATAATTAATTATAATTTGTGATTTTTTCTTAAAATTAACTTTTGTGTATTTGTTTATCTTTGCAGGTGAACGGATCTTGGAGCTTACCTGGGTTTGTTTGTGATTTTTATATCGCAATGGATGTGACTTGCAGCACCAGCTCTATATTCAATCTCGTGGCTATTTCGATAGACAGGTAAACATTTCTGCTTACACAAGAATCGAACACTAAGCTGGAGATACCGCTCAGAAACCTCTCCTGAGATCTCACATTCTACAGATTATTCTACTGAATATTTAATGTTTAAAGATCAGCTTATCGAAATTATTCAATATCGATTATGAAACTATCGAATGCGACTTCCGATAATATTGCTTCTTATATAGAATTAATATAGGCCTTTGCTGTAAAATATAAAATAATACAATTTTATTACTACCAAATAAATTTTAGAATCTTGTTAAATTTTTCGCACATGATTAATAAATTAAGTTAATGTTGTATAGAAATGTATTACGATTTTGTCCACGTTCGATGATTTTGATGATGGTCACGTTTTTCGTTAAATTTTGATAGTGGAAGACATTAACGCCCAAGCATGTGCTTTCGCCAATTCTCTGGTCGTAAAAGAGCCACGGTGATTACCGGGAAAGTTTGGAAATTAGGAAAAAGTGAGATAGGCTGATTTTACTGGTTTACGTGCCTTGAATAGAACGCAGAACTCGCATCTGTGATCAGAATGCAACTCGTTCATAGGAGAATTAGACATACTGATACGTTTAAATTTGGGAATAATCTTTTCGATAAATGAAGGTTACATATCGCGAAATAATTAGCCATAAAATCGGTAAAAGAAGAATAAATAGTTAAAATCGAGCTACATTATTACGTAGGCTTGAGTTGATTATCTCAAATATATAATTATTTGCCACATTCTTTTTTTTTTGTTTGGAAAAAAGTGATTACAAAAAAATTATAAAATTAAAATATATAGTAGCATTAACAAATTTACATTTAATAATAATAAAGTCATTTGTTTCTTATAATCTTCAGTATAACTTCTATTTAAAAAACATTAAACCTGTACATATATGTCAAACATTTCTTTAAAATTTAAAATACAGTTACCAATCTTGCGTTTAAATGCTCCTAAAAAATACGCAAACTGTAAAAGTGCATATAGATTGTATTTTAAACGGTATTCATTTCGACTACGTTTAATTGACTTTGTGTCGTTGAATTATGGATGAGAATAACGAGAACCTTTATTCCCTTCCCCCGTTGCCTTCTTTGTTCTGATATGTACAGTTGACAAGAGGTTTGTCACATAGTAAATTGATGACAGGATGAACAAAGAGATTGAAGAGTGTTTGATGATACATATGACGAGAGTGTTATGTACCGCCTTCATACTCAACTTTACAGAAATAAAATTGTTATTAGTTAAATCGCAACAAAAAACACACATAAATGCGCAAGTCATGCGCTTCGAGCAATTTTCTATTTGAAAAGATTGTAACGATAGATTGTTACAAGCGATGTAAACAGCTAAAATAAAACATTTTGATAGAAAGTTTTGGAAAGAAACTTTAGGCTTTAAGATTGTTCTACAACATCTCTTCTGAACCACGGAAATCCCCGACAATAGCTTGAAAATAGCCTTTTTATGGCCTCTTCATTCTTTCGTAGGAAGTTTACATGATCAGCCAGAAATTTGTACAAGTGATAAAAGCATATATTTAAAGAAAATTGTTATAAAACTAATGTTTTATTGATATCTTTGAAATAGTAAATTTTAATAAATAAATAGATATTATCGGTTATATATCGTCTAATATAAAGATTAGTTTGAAATTTAAATTATATTTTAAACATATACGCGCTTTCAAAATTTATTCTCGCTTTATACCAAAATCAATTCTGTCAAACGCGTCAATTAACCATAATGATAACAGCGAATACAATATGCAAATACGTTAATCGCGCGAGATGGGAATTCTGAAGGATGGATGAGACAAGAACAGCTGGATCTACATAAACGGATTTACAACGATATAATGCCCGCCGTGCGGGATGGAATTACAACGCGAACCGATTTTGTATTACAGATACATAGCGGTGACCCAGCCGATAAAGTACGCGAAGCACAAGAACAATAGAAGAGTATGGTTGACGATACTGTTGGTCTGGGCGATATCGGCCGCGATCGGTAGCCCGATTGTCCTTGGTCTGAATAACACTCCGGACCGGATACCGGACCAATGTCTGTTCTACAATACGGATTTTATCATCTACTCGAGCCTGTCCAGCTTCTACATACCCTGCATCATCATGGTATTTCTTTACTACAATATATTCAAGGTGAGAGTGATGTGATTTTTTTTGCGGCAACGTGTATATTAACACGCCGTCGTGTAAGCCTATATATCTTTCTTGCTTAAGAATCGACTTAACGATGCATGCAGAATATGACTAACTTACCAATCGGCGTATCAACATACGTAGTGATCAGATTCTATATAAGCCATAAAATTTAAGGAAATTATCTTTCTTGTTTAATTAAAATTTTTTATCGTAAAATTTTCTTATTACGCGCATACGTATAGTAGAAAAAAAGAAGTTTTCTCACTGGAAGTTGAGAAACGCTGGTATTAATAGGTCAAGCCGGTTAGCGGAAAATATAGGATCATACGGGTAATCGAAATTGCGCATTAAACGAACACGTGGATTAAATAAACCGTCATTACCATCACTGATACAAATTGCGAACGACGTGAACAAATTTTGATGTATAAATAACCAAAAATCTGCAATTTAATAATCAAATTTCTAAACGTAATTGTGATTGATACGTTGCTCTATATATATTTCGAATAATATTGGAAATTTATTAATGTCGCAATGACGTAAAATCTTGAACAAAAAAATTCGCGATGTTAAAATTATATCTGCGATGAATTTTAAAGGTTTTTGTAATATAACCGCGTGGCACAGCAATCGCACAAAGACCGCGCGGTGAAATCTATTTCAAAGATTCTGCTCCAAAAAGAAATCGATAGCTGTCTTTGTAGTTGAATCAATGCACGCATGCGATGACAAGACGCAAAGGAAATTATCTCTAGCTCGATTACAAAAGGGCAAAAATTTATTCGTGCCTCTTTTATCTATACGATTACTTCAGAAACGTGAACCGATTGCAAAATTGGCAGTAGCATGAAAGGTAGCTCTCGTAAAGGCAAGCCCGCTGCCCGTAATTTAATTATCACGTATGTGCTGTGTGCGGTATTGCTAAAATTAATCCGACTTTATTGCCGACAGCGCGGAATGCTTTAATATTTCGCGTTGGAATTAAAAGAATAAAGAAATATGACAAACCATAATAATATGGTGTAACAGCTGTAATATCGACATAAAAAGTCGACATAAAATCGTAATATGACTGTATGAAAATTTTATGTATTTCGAAAATCAAGCACATGTTTAAATATTGGGATGTGCGGCTTAACGGCAAACGGTTTTGCTATGAACAAACTTATAAAATTAATCTCGTTCACCTGTCTCGAATTTCTCGCGTTCGACATATTTATTATAGTAAAAATCACGTTCAAATTTTATGCGATTAATCTCGGACGCAGATGGAGCAAAGTGCATTGCGGTTTATACAGCGGTTGCTATCATATTGCGGTGGATCGTAAATACGGCTAGGACAATTTCCGCGTTTGTAGCGTACGGAATATTTCGATTGGACTGTTAATTTCATACTTGCGGCAATTGTACGCGCATAATACCGGCGTGGAATACCATAATAATATTGATATATGATGACCTTTATATTTTCAATATAATGTTACCACGTCATTCGCGTGCGATATTATATCATATCATGAGCTCGCACTCTTCATAAAACCGGAACGCATAATTGAAGGCATCACTATCAGTTGTAAATTTCTGCTGAACTTTGTGGAGCTTGTAAAAAGTGCAAAGGATATAACTTTAGACGGAAAGGAGAATATATTCGAAAAACTCGAGTTTTTTCGGACGAAAGATCTAGTGAAATTTAAAAGAAACAAAAAACAGAATTTTTGTTCAGAAGTATGCACTTCTCTCCTTTTCGCGCTCTCTTTTTCTCTTTCTCAATGAAAAATAAATTTATTTTATTAATTCGATTTACATTTACAACAATAAAATACAAAAGAATTTCTTCTTTGTCGATTAAAATTTATTTATTTTATGCCTATCTTTTTAACTTTGTGACTTTTAATATAAAGAATTGCAATAATTAAGTTTCACATTTCAATTGCTCAGTATTAAGAAATATTGCAATTATAAATACGAAAAAAAAATATGAATAGCTACTCATAATAGTTACATTATATGTTATAACAATTTATTCGTTCATTGAGATTTTATCAGTTTAGAACAGCATTATCCCTGTGTTGTAGAAAGAATTTGTGTTATTTCCAGAAAAATAAAAATATTCTTTTTAAGAATGTGAAGTATGAATATCGAGAAATATATAATCTCTTTTTTATCGAGGGGAGCAAAACTTTTTTTTAATGCAGTTAAATCAACAGCGAAATATTATAATGCTTTAGCAGCACGGAGATTTTCTTCTGTAAATCTATCGAAATAAATCTCGTTATCCGTAGATAGGTGTTCGATAACGCGGCTCGGGTGTTATCTACAGAAATCTCACGCAAAGATTTATGTTGTACATTTACGCCTCGAGTTTGCAACTCCTCGTCTGATTTACGTCACAATGTAGATTTTCAATTGACCGTTTCAGGCTCTGCGAAACAGAGCGAAAAGGGCTCGTGCTAGCAAAAAACCGAATTTAAGCAATATAAAACCGGGGAGCATCATCGAAAATATCGCGCACACGCGTAGGTGAGTACTTGACTATGCAAATCACCCGTTAAGTACCATCTTTTTATACTGTAGAAGTTACAGCAAAAACGATGGATTTTTTAAATTCTCTCTTGAAGGTGTTTTTTAATTACGTTTTTACTCATTAACTTATATGCATATTCGATTTTATAGTTAAATATTCTTTATTCAGTCGGAAAACAAGAATTTGATTTTTATATGTAATTTTGTAATTACTTTTATAACTTATAACAATATTAAACTTTTAGGAAAACGAACATAATTCTTGTTGTTCTAATTATAAACATTTTTATTGATTACAAAGTAAATGAAAAATGTATTATGCTGTATCTTTTACTAAAATTGATGTTTTGCATGTCACGCATGCAAATATATTACACATACATTTAAACACATATAATATATATACATATATGTATATTGCCGTCTCTGCTTCCTTATTCTGATATATTTACAATTTCGTAAAAAAAAAAGATGGATAGTCTTGATACAGCTCGGATTAAAATATGATCCAGAAAAGCGCTAATACAGATAAATCGGATTGAAAATACGTTTCCGTTTTTTCTGATTTGGCATTTGTTTTTGTGTCTTTTCACAGGGGGGGGGCACAATGCTTAGAAAAATTGAACATAGTACATACAACTTATAAAGCCTTTATATATACACGTATGCCTTTTTATGTATCCTTGAACCATTGCATTCTCGATCCTAGAATTTTGGTCTATAAATTCTTGAACTTTTAATTTTTCTTATGTCTCTCGATGCTTTCTCTTTGATTGTTAAATTCTTAATTGCGCAGCAGGCTCATCTGTAAAATAAGCATGTCATGTCTCGATTTGTTATCTTGATATAAATAATTGTCATTACATATTTAAAAGATGTTCTGTCTTTGAGGTAATACGTAAATGTGTGTTATATTGCATAAATACATGTCATTATCAACGTGATAAACATTCACACATAAAAATGTAATATTATTTGTATAAAAAAATGTTTTTCTTATAAATTTATTTGCATTAAAAAAAAACATTATTACAAAAATATACAGCATTAAAAAATTTAAAAGTGCAGATTTAACAAATGATGATCTTTCTCTCACACTTTCGCCGAAAAGAAATCATCTCGAAATCGAGCAAGAAAACTGTGGTCGAGACGACATTTATATACGTAGTAGATTTAATCAGAATTGATTTGCACGACGATTTCCGTGTTCGTAGACAGATCGCACCGCGGGAAAAATATTGCGGGTGAAAATTTATTCATACGCCCTCTTATACGACGTTATCCAGCCCGTTTGCCGGCGCGATAAGCGCGAAGACAGCCCGACGACATTTCGAGCACGTCGTGCGCGCGATGCGCGACGATTCTTTTCAATTTTCGCGATCGCGTAAGGCTCGCATTCCAACGAGACAATTTCTCGCGGAGATTGGTGCCAGCTGGCGTGGCGCGAGCTGAGAGACGGGGACGACCGAGGGTTAAGTCCCAAACATCCCCGGATAATTCGCTTTTCTCGCACGCCCCGCTCGCACGTGCTTTCATTTCCGCCGTGCTCACGAGGGCAGCCTCGTCTTGAATATCAAACTACTTGTACGTCGCTTTAATCGCTGGTCTTTTTGTTTGCGTACTTTTCCAGGCATGCATTTCGTTACGTCTATTCACCCTCATTCACCCTTCGCGTTAAAGTAATGCAAATTGAATATTATCGGGAAAGATATTCTCTATTGACATTTGACGTTTATAATGGAAGGATAATGGCGCATATCAAGCAAGGTTTGATTAATATGCATAGAAGCGGCGAATGGAATTAAAATGGGATTAGAGGAATAGGAGAAAGAAATTTTCTATTTTAGATTACTATAATTTGCTTTATAAATAAAAATGTTATAACAATAATTATTTACACTTATAACAATAATTATTGTTTCAAAGAGACCAGAATGCTATTCTAAATATAAAATTTGAAATATTGGCATCTCATCTTATTGTTATCATGTGATGTGAATATCCGCAACTGCAAAAGCACCATAATGTCGTAAACCGAGATAATAGTATTCGTGTTTTTTATATTTATGTGTGATATACCATTTACCGACGCATTGGAATCACATATAATGTTACTTGCAGCTCGCGAATTCGATATATTATATAAAGATTATTTACCTTGCAAAGTATCACGATGATAGCTTTAAAGGAATATAAAATATTCTACCTTGACATGTCTGTCTGCGTTCCATCATGTATGTACGTATAAAATTCGAAACACGTACACTTCGATAAAATACAGCGTGTTTTTGCAGTAGGTATAATCACTTTCCTCTACTGTAGATATTATTAATTGGAAAAAAATTATTATATCAACGGTAAATTAAAAACTTTCAGCGAATTGAATTCTGACAGCGGATAAGAAGCTTTTATATTTCGATTAATTAAAATTGGTTTCTATTTAAGGAAACTTTAATTCTCGGTCTAGAGTTAGAAAGATATTTGATATTGGAAATTAAAAAGTTGCAAGAGAACGTAGCGTTTAATCAAAGTTTTATTCACGTACTCAATTACAAATTGGTCAAAGTAGTTAGTTGTTGAATTTGATCCGAAAGAAGGGAGCCGCGGTATTTTTGGAACAAAGTTTGCACAAGGTCCATGTGAAGCTTAGCAGACGTATACGTTCGTAAATACTCGACATCCCTAGCTATCTAATTGTAAGAAGATTTTCGAAAAATATTACGGCGCTTCGTTAAGTACTTGAGATCACTACGGGAGTAGTACGAAGGTAAGCGAAATGTTCCAACGAACTCCAGTTTGCCTTTCTTCCAGCGAAGAGCGCAGAAAATCTAAGTATTTAAGCGCTTGAACGTGGAAAGGACACGTACGAAGAATGGCCGAAAAGTGAGGCTGGCCGTCGCACACGGAAAGGTGTCGTTTAAAAAGTGAAAAGCGTTATTACGAGTCTTATTTTATCTTTTATTATAACATATCGGCAGAGAACTGCACTGTAGGGAAAAAAGTTTAGTGTTAATTAGTTTCAAAAATATTAGATACTTTAATACATTTAATTAATATTTCTCTCCGCGCAAAATAGCATTTTCTGTGATTATTTATTCTTGTCATTATTTATTTCTTTCAGGGATTTTAAAATTCTTACAGACCTCTTTGTTTGCATATCTGATACAATAATTTTTAAATTGTATATTTTTATGATTACTTTAGAAAAATGCAAAATTGTATATTTTTATGATTACTTTAGAAAAATGCAAAAAAGTATTTTTTCCATTTATTTTTTCGCAAACCGTTTGTCGTTAAAATAACGTTTAATTAATTAAAGTTAATGCGTTCTCGGAAAATTGATAATTGCTTTTGGTTTAACTTTGACGGAGATCACATTTACAATGACGCATGACGCATGACGGCGGCGCGGGCGGACGAATAAATTAAACTTAGGTGTTTACAGTTACAGTCGCAATTTGGTAACTTCATCCGCATTTTGATATCTCTCTAGGGTGCAATGTATCCAACATAATCTGGCGTTCCGGTTAATCCGCCCACATGCATCCACGCTGGCCACGTTATCCCTTTATCAACTTTGTTATCGCGCGGACCGAGGTTCGGTCGAAAGCACCGAAATTTTGATATTTATCTTGGCAATCTAATGCACGAATCTTGTTGCCGTCGCACGTGTATCTTATTCCAAGGTTATGTTTAGGTCGGCGATCAGTACAATTAATGATTATTCCTCGTGATGACATATATAAAGCCGCCGAATTGCTTGCATTGAGATTAAAGAGATAAACGAGATAAGGATGATAGGAAGAACATCGGTTTAAATTAAGATTATATTTATCCAATAGAATGATGATATTTTCTCTCATATATGAAATTTTTCTCTTTATAAGATAATACGTACATGTGTGAGATAATTTTAATTAAATTAAATGCGTTTAAAATATTTTTTAGTAAAACAAATGTCAGCAGTGAAATTGACTGTTATTTATTTTTTATATTCTTAACATAAAAATGAATAAATATGTACACATATTTGTTTTTTAATATAGATATGTATATTGTGAAATATTTTTAATAGATACATTTAAATTTAATAGATTTAAAATATATTATTTTAAATTTAAAGCTCACGTAATTATAGACTTTTTATTATAATTTCTTAAAATTGATTTTTAACCGTGAAAATTAATTTTCTCACGTAAGAATTTTCCTCCATTGCGGAAAATTTACGTATGTTCGGATTGTGCTTTATTGTGTACAGAGATGTGCATGTGAAAATGCTGCGTCATGCTTTGAATAGACGATTTTTGAATAGTACTGTCGGAGCATATCGCGGATACTATCACTTCGAAGTTCAATAATACAAAATTTAACAGCCGAGCTTCCAATTTGCGCATAGGTGACGTGTTAATGAAGCTTATGGCAGCTCAAGTCGCGGTCTCCTTCGGCGAATATATGAATTATTTTGCAATGCAAAACGAGTTTTGCGCAGTTCAAGGAAATTAAACATAGTAACGCAATTCTATATTATCCAAGCAGACGAAGTTTTGATATAATGCCATTTAGAGAATATTCAACTTTTCAGAAAACTCGCAAATTTTGGATATTGTGTGGGAGATTGAAAAATTTGTAGCAAATCCGGTTGAATTAATTAGCATGTTAAAAGCTTATTACATACACAAATTAACGTAATGGTTTTATATTCGATAAAAGCTGTAACTTATATTAAATACAAATGAGATGCTCGACATAAATTATTACATTGACAGAATTGTATGTTGGACATGTTATCGATCAAAACGCAAGTATATACATTTCTGGTTAGATAAATTAACGTGTAACAGACTTTAATTTGCACCAGCGCGCATCAATCAAAATCCATTTATTTTCTTTTTCGCTCCCTTCCATACACACATATACACACACACACACTCTTTCTTCCTTTTTTCTTTCTTTCGCCATCTTTTCTTCCTTGCCTTTTTTCTAAATTTTGAATATTTATATGATTAAATATGTTGCTTTTTTGATACATATAGTGAACTTTTAAATGCTAATACAAAAATATACAGAATGAAAGAATGGATATTTATTTAATTACGTATTTTTTACATTCAAAATTAAAGAGAAAAGATTGTGACTTACCACGATTTGGACTTGATCGCTGTGTCGTAACAAATTAAAGACTCGTTTGAGATCTCAATCGTAAAAAGGAAACAGCGACGCTCTGTCACTGAGGATCTTGCAGGTGCTGTGAAAAAGCGTGTCGTCGCTTTGTGCATGATAGATACGCTACTTGCTGGATTAACGCTGGGGGATGCCGGATAAACAAGGAAGTGCATGATAGGTGTAGAGGCTTTTCTAGAGGCTTTTGACTAAGATCACGTAGTGGGTATTCTGTGGCAAGGTTCGCGGAAACGGCGCTGGGGGCGGCCGCCCTGGTGGCACCTGGGATCGAGGAACCGACGAACACCGCTTCCGGCAGCAACGAGGACGAGGATGAGACGCCCCTCGATCCCGTCGTCGTCATCTCCAATGACAAGAGCACGGAATTCTTTTTAGCCACGGTCGTCGAGGAAGCAGCGTAAGAATTTCATCATATCTTCTTATCACTCGTTCCTCCTCTCCCCCCGTCGCGCGCCCCGCGAACGGAAGGAAGATGTCGGAATTTTCTTTCAACGATATCGGATCGCATTGTCATGACGTTGTGCGACGGGTCTCGTCACATCGACCTTCAATGCGAAAAGCCGTACGAATACGTCGTCTCTGAAACGGTTACTGTCTTTCAAAACCGTCGTTCAGTTTGAAATGTATACCTCTTTGCGATGACAGATACGATATGAAATCGAGTGAAAAAGTCAAAGAGGATCTTGCTAGGTCTTTTGTAAAATATATATATATTTGGTTCGGGATATATAAGTTATGTTGCGTTCACGCTTGATATCAACTATTCGCCCCGATTACTGGGATGAATAACGGTATAAGCTATATAGTAAATATTTAATGCATCAATTTTTATACGAGATTATTTTAAGATAATATAAAATTCTACAATTTTATTTGCTGCTTAATTAAAAGAGGAATATTTCGTTGAAATATAATGGCGTTTTTATATTTAAGTACTTAATACAGATGATAAGCACCTTCAATAAAGCGTATTGAATAAATTATAAAATTACGTTTATTTTATGTGTATCGCGGGGGAAATGCTCTGGAATTAACTTATAAAACGACTTATATGAATAAGGGCACTGTATAACCAAGATATACCTGTACAACTTCTCTTTCCATCTGCTTTTGCTGAGCTCCGAGAGATGAAACGAATGGTTAAAAAGTCTGGGCGGATGTCTGAAAGGCAAAAGAGATGATTATACGATATTCTGTATTGTAGAAAAATGGAAAAATTTTCGCGTTTCTTTTTATTACGCGCCGCGCGAAATGATCTGATCTGAGGTTCTTCGCATCGTTATTATACAGAGAAAAGTACGTAACGCGAAATTGAAAGAGGACTAAAAGAATTGATTAATGATGATTAAATTAAATTTTCTTTGTGTAATTTGACCTACATATTTAGAAGAAATTCCATCGAACCACCCCATAAACTTTTCGCGGATGCCACACTACTATTTTCTTAACGTTGTATAATAAATGAGACTTGAAATTTCAATTAGTCGACAAGAGACACGAATGATAAAAAGCAACTGTTAAATAAAGTAGTAAAAATGAAACAACACACGAGCACGTAGGTAGCTACAATTATTTTACTACTCTTTCTGAAGATTTCCAAGCGACACGAAAAGGCTTTGAGTCAATCAAAAGTTTCGACCTGCCGGTTAATTGGCCAATTGGGAGTCTTCAATTAAAAGAATATTACTTCTGCCTCGCGTGTCGCAAAGTTTGCGGGTTTTTATCTCTTCTGTTCCGAGTCCTCTTCAGATTATCGGTAACGTGAGAATAATTGCGGATTCTTTTCGACTAAGCAGTGATTACTGTTTTGGACTGTCCTTGCTCTTTTAAAATATGATAATATACCTTTAGTACCGAAATATATGTATTTTTTCATCAAATTACGAGAATTATCTTCAATTTTATATACCTAAAATAATCTCTCTCCGAGTGTTGTTTATAAAGCAATTCAATTGTGAGATAAAGTTTTACGTTTTTCACACAAATTAAAAATGGTCCTTAAACATCGTAGTAAATCATTTTTCATTAAATTGATTTTTTTGTTCTTTGAAATGAAATTTTTTGTTCATTTTATCACTTTTTGAAAGCTTTCTTTCGGTAATTCGTCTCGAACGGATAAAGAGGCGAAGACAATTCAGGGCGATGTCGGAAATTCGCTCGATCGGAAAACTCGGACAGGAAGGCACGTCGATATTCGGGACGGCTGACAAGTTGAACGCTCGAAAGTTCGTGCGCGTTGGACGATGAAGCAAAACAAGAAAAAATTCGCAGATCGAGGGAAAGAGAGTGAAGGGAAGCACGGCAGGCCGAGCGGCGAAAAGCCGATGATCTCGTAATTATTTTCTTCGTTCTCTCGACAATCGCGGTACAGTGGGGGCCAATCGGAGCTGTGCGAGATTTCGCATGTACTCTCTCCCTCTTCCTCTCTCTCTCTCTCTCTCTCTCTCTCTCTTCATCTATTTCCAAAACTCTATTCAAAGCTCGCGCACAGTACTCGTTTAACGGAAACTCGTCGCTCCGATAGTAATCCGGAAGTTCGCGAGCTAATCGCGATGGGGTGGTCTCTTTGTACCGGCGTTCCGCGAACAATTTGCATCTAACCGCTCGCGTTACCTTTGAAAATGGGCCAATCAACTCCGCGCGCATGGACATTTCACGGTTATTAATTAGTGTGTATTTTCAGCTCTCGAGCGATAGTATCGCATATTTCGGCAAGCGTGGAACTTCGCGTTGAATCGTTACGAGAGATTTTGCATGGGATACGATTTAGAAATGAACAAAAACTTTGACAATCACATTCTTATTTTTAGTTATGGTTTTAAAAAATTATATAAAAGGGAAAAGAAGAAATTTAACGTAAGCTTTGGTGGAAAACAAGTTGTATGTGGTGCATTATCTTAATATTATATTATAAACGATGATATATTAAAATTCAGTAAAGTACGTAGATTATATGATAAATGGACATTAAAAATATTCTTTTATATATAATATAGTAATTGGATCTCGCTGTATATTTGTTTAGGACATTTGTTTTCTGTATCCTTGCCTCTGAAGGATGTAAGACCTCCTTGTCATTTGCATGCATATTCATAAGTACTGTCTCCTAATTCAGATAGTAATCTGTTACCGTCTCATTAGTTAGATTCCTTGTAACGTTTTTTTTTAAGTATTTTATTATGTTATCATTTTACCATACAACACCGGCCAACGTAATAATGTTTCATTGTCAAAAATATATAAGAACGCAAAAGATCTTAAATGCGTAGTATATAAACATAAAAAAATACTGTATATCTATAATTATTAATAAATAATGTAATCAAAACTACAAAATTTAGAATACATGAAAATGTCGCATCAAAATTTAAATGCAAGATTTTGAGATTATAATACAGATATGCATAAAAATGTTGCATTGAGTAGGAATGATATCTTTGAAGATTTTGTATAATCGTCCTGAGTGTACAAACATAATCACGCGTTTTGCAATAATGAGAAAACAGTAATATATGATATCAAATGAGATTTCTAAAAACCATCTTTATTTCTGTATTGTGCAACTTTTGCGTTATTATCACGAGATCCCGAGCTCCTTAATCCTCGAAAACCAGACTTAAAATTGGTAGTGTGGATTTTAAACTCTAACGTGAAGCGGATGAGTGCCGGGTCTTTCTGACACTCGAATGGTAGTTGTCGTTTCAGCGCGGTGGCACAGGCCCAGCTGACCGGAGCACCACACGTGCAGCGGCAAGACTCCAGCGGATACGACGTCGCGGCGAGCAGCACGATGATCCACGAGCCGCTCGAGACGAATTCGAGTCCGAGCCCGAATCCGCGGGTCACGTCGGGCCCGCCGTCCTCGTCGACTTCGTCGTCGCCCCCGCCAACGCGAGGCGCAACCAGCGTGTCCTCGGCCACGCAGACGAAGAGGAACGGTAACAACGGCGGCGCGAACAAGCAGGAGCTGAAGCGACTGAAGAGCGCCGGCTCGCTGCTGCCGCTGCAGCTCGCGAGAACACCCAGCGTGCTGTCGTCCACCTGCAAGAAGGACCGGAAGAACGCGTCGGCCGGGTCAAGGTTCACGATATACAAGGCCAACAAGGCTAGTAAAAAGAAGAGAGAAAAGAGCTCAGCCAAGAAGGAGCGCAAGGCCACGAAGACTCTGGCGATCGTGTTAGGTAGGTTGCTCGCGTGCCGCTGCATTGATAAGTATAGCTCGATCCGTCTCGCATCTATTATTGATGAGGCTCGCGAGTTAGAAGCAAGAACGAGCTGCGATACTGGAAATGGATCACCATCTCCAGTATATGTATATGTGAAAGTCTGAACATGGCTAGGCGAATAGGCGAGTGGTTTAAGAAAAACATCGAACGATCAGGAGATTAGTTATATGTCCGGCATGACGATTCGATCGGATCGAACAATTTATCTTTGTAACTCTTTCTTGCGAGCAATAAATAAGCGGCAATAAATGTCGATACGAAACTACTATCTTTACTGCTCGAAATGTGGATTTACTTGAATATCAAAACCTCTTACTTCGTGATCAAAACTTTGAAATCAATATGAAGAAATATTGTGAAGCATGCCGCGTATTACAGAAAAAAAAGCTTTAAATCCCCTTCACCAACACGAAAATCTCGGTATTCAGAAGCTCTAAAGTTTGTCTCAAATCTATTTTAAATAAAGTCCACTGTAAGGTTGGATGAAAGAGTAGAGAGGATTATTAGATAGATAGTTTGTATTTTGAAACAAATATTTCTGATATATAAGATATCAAAGGATAACAGATACTGAAAGTTTCTGGGGTCCTTGGTGTGTCAAATCATTAACAGAATGTATTTTGCATACCAAGTGCTGAAGCTCAAAAGTACTCGCTTTATACGAAAACAATAATAGTTAATTTAGAACGCATGCATTTCATAATTCCTACAATAAATATGCATTATTAATAAGAAATAAAAAAAATAGCGAGATAAAGAATCAAATTTGCATTTATACAACATTGCATTTTAGTGCATTATCGTTATTGTATGTTTAAACTCTCCGACTATTCTACCTAAATTAATAGTTAAAATGAATATAGCTTTTATATAATTAATATTTCTTTTTAAAAATATTTTTTACAATTTAAAAAATGTATAATGCATTTATTGAGATATAGTTATAATTAAAATTAAATTAAAATGTTGAAAATTAAGAATAATAGTTAGGTGTTGTGTTATATTTCTTGAAACGTAGAAATCATCAATCTTGCTAACGCAATCACTTTGATTAATATAATAAATGTCACAGGTGTCTTTCTAATATGCTGGGTGCCCTTCTTCACTTGCAACATCATGGACGCAATTTGCACGAAGCTGACAGGGGCTTGTCAACCTGGTGTTACAGCCTTCATCGTCACTTCCTGGTTGGGCTACATGAATAGTTTCGTGAATCCCGTAATATACACTGTGTTCAACCCCGAATTCCGTAAGGCCTTCCGCAAGCTGATCAGCGTATAAGCGAGCGATTTACCTGCTTCCATCGCTGAAGAAGAGATACAGGACAGCAAACGTAATTCGGTGTGAATCGTCGTATTTGTGATGTAACAACAAGACTGTAGGCTCTCGGCAAACTTGCAACAGGTACTGTTGTTCTTGTATTTGGAACCTCAGCAGCTGCGTTTGCCTATCGGTTTTCGCGTTCTATTGCGTGTCAATCGTTTTCCAAGTGAATGAGAAAAGTTGAGTCTCACAAAACATTTCCCATTTTCTACTTAGGAAATACGGTCCGCGACACGGAAAAAAAAGACAAAGGCATTATTTCTGATGAATATACAAGCAATGCATTCGATGAAAATAATTTATGAATAATAATTTATGATTACAACAGAATAATAAAACAAAAGGAAATAAAAATAATATCTCTATTTAACGAAATTTTGTGTTTGTACGTAAAATATTTAAATATTAAAAATATTTTTTTCTCAAATTCACGACACTCAAGATAAATAATTGTACAAAATACTGTTAAAGTTATTACTCATTGATTATTACGTATCTATGATGGAAAGTGAAGAAGATATTTCTTCACTTGGATAAAATTGACACGCGATCAAACAGCGAAAATTGTTCGCTGGTAAATTCGTTGTTATCGAATACAGCAACGATTCTTCGCATCCATACGCGTGAAAATCGTGCACTGTGATATCAAACTATCGTGGCATGACACGCGCTATTGGGTGGAGGACACACATGTACACGTGCGCTAGAATTCACGTGCACGAACGTTGGAGTTGAATTCTCGCACGGATAGCTCAAGTAATTGCTAAGTAAGGCTTTGCGAAGCAAAAGCAAATACTCCGCGTCGATCAACCGCGCGGTATCGCGCAAATTAGCAGGAAATTTAGGTAATCTGTACAAATCACACGCGGCGAGCGTTTACGAGGCCCCGAAGGACTCATTAGGTTAGTCAACCTTCTGTGTTGAGGTGTAATAATCGCGTGTTCGCAAGGGCGGTTACACCCCTGGAAGATAATTTAAGTTCGCGAAAGCAGGTAATAATGGGATTTGAGAGGGAGGGAGAGAGGGGGAGAAGCGCGGAGGGTTAAAGTTGTTAGAGGTGTATTTATTATGCGAGCATATATTACTATACGTCTTCATCTGGATGATTAAGTACGCCGTGACAGTATTAACATAGGATATAAGTTATAGCAATATTTTTTCGCTCAAAGCAAAAGCAACCGTGACCGCCGTTTGTACGACGATAGAATCATGCTATGCACACTCGCGTGTCGCAGTGTAATTATATGTATTTATACTTCGATACACATAGAGAAAGAAACAGAGTGAAAGAAAGAGGGGAAAAAATGTGAGAGAAAAAGAGAGAGAAAGATATACATATATATTATACATATATTACATAAATAAATTTACGTCCTTTCACGATATACAGGGTGACACCAAGTACGGGGCAGAAGCTTTAGGACAACATGGAAGAAGCTTAACTTTTGGGAACAGTGTATCTTGGAAACACTAGCTCGAACTCTCTTTAATGAGTTACTCATGTTATCGAACGCCGGTGAATATAATTATTTCTGAGTTATCAAGATACTAATTAAAGCCCGTGCATCGAGAATAAGATATTTTTCTGAACGTGAGAATATTTAGGAGAGAAATGGTTGATGGAAGCTTTTGGAATTGTAATCTTTATTTCTGGGAAAACGTACGTTTTTCCAAGAATAAATATAAATTCGCTATTAAATCGAGAGAGGAAGAGTTTTTGGTATTTTGAAAAATTTGAAATTCTTAGTCCCTCGATATTTATATGGACGAGTTTCTCAGGGTTTCTCAATTTAGCGCCTCATCATCTTGCATTGATCTCCTATTATAATAGCAATTTGTTCAGTTTACTTACTTTTACTTTGTTGAAGTTACCGAACGGTTATTAACTTGCAATACATGTCTTTTTAACGCAGTAACAATTAAACGCTTTATGAAGGTGGATAGTGATTTAATAACAATCAAACTACGGCAGCACAAATTTCTTAAAATCAAATTGTATAAGCAAACATATATATTTTACAAGATATATGCAGAGTTTATGAATATACTGATAAGATGCAGGCAAGTTCACACTTATATGAAGTACTTCCTTACCAACATTATGCCTATTTTTATTTTTATTTATTAATTTCGAATATTTAATGAAGCTTATATGTCTCGAATATCTTATTACGAGTGTTGGGTTCTTCTAAATTGTGAAAAGAATTTCGTGTTACATTATGTCATTTATCTGCAAAATATTTATGTAGTAAGCAAACGGATACATAAATAATAAACGGAGCGTGAGAACGTGCAGGGATTGAGAACTCCTGATATATATATTATTTTACGATTTTGCCGTGACGCATACACACACGCACATACATGCAGGTTTGACTTGCGAGCAATCGTACAGGTTCGATCGAACGGCGAAATTCCGGAACTTGCTCCGACCGCTTCGGCGCGCTTTGATACGTAGGATTTGTCGCGATATTCCGATACCAATGCCACTAGTTACGAACCGTATGAATAATCAGGTAGACTTGGAACAATGACGACAGCGTACACGAAGATCGGAAACACAGTTCTCGGTTTCACGGCTCGATCGAGCGCAAAAGCGCAACATCGGGATTTACTGGCTCGCGACGTATAAATGCAAACTATTGCAGAGTATCGATTCCTCTAAAAGCGTAGAGATACAATACGGGTGAAATTAATATACCTTACAAGGGAATAAAATAATAAAAATTAAATAGAAGAAAATTAAATCTAGTAAATGGAAAATATGAAATAAAAGAGAAACAGTTGGTGAGAGAAGTTCGTTATCGAGTTTCGTGTTACGTTCAGAAGATTTCAGACAGAAGTTGTGCCGAGCTTCTCGCGATACTGTGTACGTACGTGTCCTAAGTTTCGACGGTCTTTCACGTCTTTGTTTCGCGGTCAAGCGTGAAATTCATCGTGACCGAATTTTCAAACATATCAAGTACGAGTACGCGGTGCAATAGCTGCCTACGAATCAATCAACTGAGCGAATTACTGCTCTACACTGCATTATTTTTTTTTCTTTTTCTCGAGGTGATCAATGCGGCTGTGTATACTCCTCAAGACTTTTCCGTCGAGCTGCGAGACGATGCGGATCAACGATCCACGCTGTACTTTCATCAAAATCAACCGTGGAGCATCGTTTAACAGGACTGCGACTGCTTGGACGAAAGAGAGTGAAAGTTTCTCTGAAGTACTTAATTAATTTTTCTCGTTTAGTACCGTTTAACAACCTAGTTAACGATCTCACTAAGAAAGAATATACGTTTATCATTTTTTATACGAGTTATGGCACGAGACGTTATCGCGTTTCTTGATGATAATATGTAAACGTTTTATATTTCAGATATATTCGATATTGTCGTGATTTATAGATATGCATTAATACCTAAATCTTAATAATATTTAGTAACAACTTTGAATTTTAAAAGGTTATAATACAATACACATTACGGCGTCTTGATGCAAAAGAGTTATACTGTAAGTATATTTTCACGTTTTATTTGTTTAATATCCGTGGGAGTCTATATTAGAACAACAGGAATTAAAACCAGTACGATCTCCCAAGACTTTACATTTATATATTTATGCGTAACAAAATAGAAATTCGCAGATTTAGCATAAAATACATTTCTCCATTTCTATTGCGTGAGAAATTAAACTCGTCGATTTCAATTTGGGAGAAAAGGACAAACATATCCGCACGTCGGGCCTTTACGACGCGAGGGAGACGCGCGCAGAAACGCAGAATACGATCTATGTTCTGTGTTTGATTAATCCATGTAGAGGTTCATGACTTTCCTCGCAATCGCGAAGTTCAGGTTTCAACTAATATTTGATCGACGTAATGTGAGCATCTCAAATCACGTTCACGTCGAAATGCAATGGTTTCATCGGATTTCAAATATAAGCGAAGTGATTAGCGCATATCTGGAGGGAGCATGTATAATATAATTGATCAATTTGGATGATGTTTAAAAGTGATTTGTTTATAAAGCGAATAATGACATTAAATAATATACAATTATAAACTTATGATAAACTCGCGCACAGAGAGAGGGAGAGAGAAATAGAGAAATAGAGAGAGAGAAAGATTAATCTGATGGGAGGAGTATTATGTAATTCGTTAATATTAAATTGTTAAAGATATAATATTAGATCATCAAGAGATGCGGCAGCGTCTCGATGCCAGGTGCATAAAATCAATCAACCGAACGTGACTGTGTTCATTGCATGAATATCGAGCGCTACCATTACCTTTTTATCGGGGAAGTTTTACGTCAAGCATGCTTTCGATTACATTTCTTCGAAAGTTTCATGATAAAAAAAAATCTAACGACGCTTTTCTTGCATGACGTCTAAGTAAGCTCCTGATTGCAGTCGCTCCGAACAAAATTGGCGCTGTCAATTCGGAAATCTCGAGATCTATGCTAAGAGCGATAATTTCGCTTCTGCAGTTTCGCGTGTGCATCGTAAGCGACTTTTATCCCTCCAGCCAGCATTCGCAAGCTCACGGTTTGAAATGTGTTCAGATTTAAGAAATTTGTCGTGTTTGGAATTAAAGTAGAAGAAACTTTGTAGATAATTTTACTTTTCGAAAAGAATGATCGACTAATTGGTTAATTTTGTCTAAATTTACTTCTGCTTCTGGAAATCGCTAACAATTAAGACCGTGCAAATTTCTTACTTAAAGTATTACTTTTATCTCAAGGTCTTTTTTTTTAGTCCAGATGTAAGTTTTTGCACGATCCGGAAGCGTTGCGAGCAAATCATGATATCTCGTTCGTTTCGATGTATGTCACGCGCGTCCGCGTTGTTGCAATAACGTCTACAATCAAAGCTTTTTACTGGGTTTTTTGAATGCTGTACGACGTAGCTTTTAAGCCTCCGATGTATATTTGTAAATATTCTAGACGAATGGTACTGTCAATCCTATGTATATCGTTACGTACAGCTTCGTGTTACATGTGGCGCGGTTTACGACGTCGATCCGATCGAGTTGTTTTAGATAAAACGCAGTTCGCGTACGTTTCATCCGCGTGAAACTTGGTGCGGTCACTTGCGATAAATGGACACGTGTGCTCCGAGCTTGACAAACGTCCAGCCGCAGAATCGAACGACGTTTGTCGTCATCGGCGAGCTCTTCGCATGATGCTTTTTTGCAAAACGCGAAAAATTGCTTCGTTAGTTTAATTCTACGCGTCATTGTGTCAAATGTTTCGCAACTCCGGGATAATCACGCAACACGGCTTCCCTCTTAATACGCTAATAACGCTCTCCGTTTCGGTGTTTTGTATAATCGGTATGTTTGCCCTGTTTAAAATAATATGCAAACTAATGAAGATTAATGGTAAATTTGTAAAGTCTTCCTGCGAAAAAACGTTACGAAGACGAAAATTGTCGCAAGCGGAACCTCTTAAAAATCTCGCGAATTCTGTTTCTTAGAATTCTGCTGTTGCCAGTTTTCCGTCGACTATACTTTTAACTTCTTTCTCCGTGAAACACGGCAACAGCATTTTGGCAATGCGCAAGACAATATCCGCGTTACGATAACGTTTAAAAGTTTCTCGGGGAGAAACACGAGAACGGCTCCGTCGTGGAATGAAATACGGCTTGACGTCGGAAGCGAAGAGAGAGAGACGCCGCGGACTTAAAGCCGCGGCTTTCAATTCGGGGATATAAATCTTTTAATTTATGTAAACCCCCCCCTCTTTTCGAAAGATATAAAACCTACTTAAGTCGCTTCGGTCACAATGAATCCGCGCAAGCCGGCTGTGAAGTTTTAAGTCCTTTTCATAACTCCGTCGGGAAGTTTGTCGACTTTCTCTCTCTCGCTTGTCGACCGATCGTCATCTCTCGACTTATCCCCTGCGGGAAAGCCGCCTCCGTCTCGTCTTCACCTTCCGTAGATCGCGCCATGTGCCACTTAACGTCGTTGTTAAAGGGTAAGGAGACTTCCGGACGAAGTCGATCGCTTCTTAATTAGCGAAGTTCGCACGCTCTGCTTTCCATATCGCTAACGAAGCGCAGAGGACAAGTATGGCGCATATTCCAGCGCGATCCCCGCGAAATCCTTGCATTTCCATAGTCGATCTCGAGAGCCATATTCTCATCCCCGTGTTGCGTCTTCGCGTTTAGCACTGTAACTAAGTGGCTGTCTGATCCCGAAGTCTCATCCTCAGAGGCCAATTAATAAAATGAAGACGCGTATCAGGTGGCTACATTCAGTGCTAAATGCATGATGAAGATACGGGTCCCACAATCTGACGATTTAGATTATTTAGAAGAATATATGTATAAGCGTGAGATTTAACGGTTCCAGACGAAGATATGACGGGTAGCCAAAAATATATTCGTGCGAGGAGAGAAAGAGTGTGAGAGAGAGATAGAAAGAAAGGGAGAGCCTAGTCTTCTGTTATATAGCGTGACACTTCGAAAGATGTTAGAAAATTCTTATAATCCTGAGTAAAATGGCTGTATTTTTCTAACCTGATACTTTCCCCTCTGTACATATATACGCGACACATGTATATGATATGTATTGATAGACACATAACGACACGTGCGTGAAGACGATGTCACAATTTGCGGGGGCAAGTTAACGTAGGCACTGTATATCTGTGTAAATATATGTCTAATTGGGGAAGCATGTTGCGTCTGTTTGTGTACACGTTTGTGTGCGTGAGAGAGTACGACGAAGTTTCCCCTGATGATTCCCAATTGAGTGTAAATTACTACAGAAACTTCTTGTTTGCGCGAAACGATCACGTCGGCACGTTGTCTTTCGAGGATGAAAGTGTTGGAATGCTATAACGTTAAAAAAAAGAGAGAGAGATATATATATTATACATAGTATATTATACGACGTACGCGCGTATGTTACGCCGATGCGTGAGATCGGATGCTGTGTTTTCCTATGGATTTCTTATTTATTATCACCAATGGTCTATACAGGGCATAGGTTTAAGAAAAGAACCTTTAATTTGCTGAGATTTAATCTGCGAGAAAATAAGAACGTAAAAAAATATTTAAAAAATGCTGTATGTATATTGAAGGCAATACCTATACATACCTAAGAGAGCGTGAAAAATACGCGAAAACACGTTTCACACGCGACATGAACATACATACACACAAAACAGGACAGTTGTTAAAAGTAATAAATTATAGTATAAATTAAAAGTGATCTTATAATTTCTACCTTCGGATCACACATCTCTTTTCGCTTCTCTTGGTCATTCCAAGAAGAGCGAGCAAGTAAACAAACGTAAACAATTAAATTTTTAATACAATAAAAATGATTGATTTGGATAAATGTTCGAAGTAGCCTAATTAAATATGCGAGTACGTGCAAGTTTCGTTTCTCCGCAACGTATCTTGCTTATTAATGAATACCGCGTAAAATGACATTATTATAATGAGTTTCGACAGGGCACGTGTATTAAAATGAGTTGCGATTCTGTTCTCACGCGTGATAAAAGGGCTTCGTAATCGCAACAGTTTCAATTACGATTAAAATAATGAAAAATAACGAAAGAGCGAGGGATCCCGGACGGATCCAATTTGCAAATAAATCGCTTATGCTATCTCCATAAAATGCACGAATGAAGTAATCTAACGTAAGCTGACGGCGGATTATTCACTCTACGGCGCGGAGAAATTCTAGGGATGGAAAATGAGATAAACCTATATATTATTCTCGCCGGAGCATAATTAAGTGTGAAACTTACAACTGACTCCTAGTCAGGCGGCTCGCTGCAAAAAAATAATAGAAGTGACAAATGGATGTGCAATTTACCCAGGTTAAATCGCGAATCGTAAAACAACGACGATACACACAGAGCACACAATTATCCTGCATAATTGCTTGACAACTCGAGTGGAGATGAACTCGGAATGCAATGCGACGGCGCCGCGGCAGGATATGAGAACTTCGCTACGTAGCGAAACTCTGTTTGTTGAAGTTTAATATAAATAATGAATTATATACTTATATAATTCATTATTTAAATTATATAATTATATAC